TAATAAAGTTATATTCTGAAGTTTGTTTAAACAATTTTTAGTCTATAGCTTTTGTAGAACATTCATATGTTTACTTTGCAAAGTTTAATGAAAATTTGACTTTTCACCATCTTGAAGTATAATATATTAAAAACTAAAAATACTGTTTAATTTTAACATTTTGTAATCAATTTTAACAAAGAAGATTAATTTAATTATAAAATTGAAAATACAAAACTTCAAAATTGTATTTATATTTAATTAAAAAAACCACTTTAAATATTTTATGAATCATCAATAAATTTTTTTTTATAATCAACATTCTTGGTATGAGTTCAAATGGCTGATAATGTTCAGCTTCCTGTTATTAAATTGATTGTAGTTTATTGATATTTCCTACAAGAAAAAGAAAGAAGGAAATATACTACTGGTAATTGACTTTTATAAATACACAATATATATTTTATGAATTACAACAGTACAAATTTAGAAGACTGCATTACACTTAAACATGAAGCATTTCAGTATATGTAATTGTAATACTTTTTAGTCTTATGATTTTATATATAGATATACTTTCAAAAACATTAGTTATTAATTAATACAGTTCTTTTTTTATGAATTTATACATATAGAATCTCTTGAAATTTTACCTGTATAAAATATACTTTATTCATTTTAAAAATGACTTTTCACACTATGATGTTTTTAGTCATTTTTAAAAAAGAAAAATACATTTCAAATAGAATGAATGCCATCAGTATGGAATTTACTAATTTAATTTGAAAGTTAGTGCATCAGAACATAATTTTACATTAGATGTTAGAGTATAATTAAAATTATATTGCATTAAAGGTATTGGTGTGACATTATTAGTATTATCATAATTGCAGTTTCTGAAGTAATGGAATATGGCTACGTCATCCAAAACTTATTATAAACTAGTTTGCATATAACAAAGTAGTATGCATTGGCTTAAAAATGAACAAAGGCTTTTTAAATTAATCCATTAAAAACCACAGATTATGATCCATAATGAGCAAAGGAAAAAAAAGACCATGAGACATAAAAAAAAAAAGAACAAGGAGGAATGAACATCTATTTGGATGATGAAGAGATAGAAGTCAATGAGTTCATGTACCTAGGAAGCATAATTACCTCAGACAGAAGAAGTCAAAGAGATGTTACAGCGAGAATAGCCCAAGCAAAACAGGCATTCTATAGGAAATGACAGATATTAACATTGAAAAATATATCAGTCAATGTCAGGAAGTGATTCATTAAGAGTTATCTGGAGCATAGTGTTGTATGGTTCAGAGACATGGACACTCCAAACAGTGGAGAAAAGAAAACTGGAAGCCATTGAGATGTGGTGCTGGCAAAGAATGATGAGTGTGTCATGGACAGAGAGAAAGAGGAATGAGGATGTTTTGGAACAGGCAACAGAGAAGAGACATTTTTTGAAAACGATAGAGGAAAGGAGAAATGACATGATTGGCCATCTAATTTGACACTCAGAATGGATGAATGTTTTATTGGAAGGAAAGATAGAGGGCAAAAAAGGGATGTGGAAGACCCAGAGTGGAATATTGCAATGAGTTATTATGGAAAAGGTCTTATCAACAGATAAAACAGCTACCTAAGCGAAGAGAGAAGTTATAAGACTGCATGCATCCATGTTTACCCACCAACCATTGGTTGAGGAGAGAGAATGATCCAAAATTGGGTACATGACAATTAGGTGATGGTCAACTAAGAGACTGTCAATTGGGTGACAAAAATTTTCAGACTTAGCAAGCATTTGATTTGACTGATATTTTTTATTTACTTATTTATTTTTATTGTAAATATTGGTAAAATATATATAAATATAGTTAAGACTTAAAATGTATGAGTTATAAGTTACAAACTATGAGTTACGTGTTATTTCCAACTTAGAAAAAGGAAATCTTTCCAAATAACATACTGTAGCATCATTAATTATTTTATGCCAGAACAGTTAACAAAGCACATCAAAGAAAAACAGTTCTTCTAAAACAAATTCTTTAGAAGAACTTTTATACTTTTTTTGTTTTAATTTATATTGTATTTAATNGTCAGAAGTGGTTAACAAAGTGCATCAAAGAAAAGCAGTTCTTCAAAAATAAATTCTTTCAAAGAACTTTTATACTTTTTTGTTTTAACATATATTGTATTTAATATAATGTATTTTTAATTTTATGTAATTATTATCTTAGTTCTTATATAACCTATATATGTTAATTTTTGAAATAGATATCAACTGTCCTTTGAGACTTTTCTATTTTCTTGTAAAAATAAAAAAATAATGTATGTAACATGTATAAATATGTTTGTTAATTACAAAGTCGTTCTTTTAACTCATTTCTTAAAAATATTTAAATTTACCAGATAGTAGATCAATAGAAAATAATGCTTTTTTAATTAAAAAAAAAACAAAATCACCAAAAAATTTGTATTTTATCTAATGTTCATCTCATTTTGTTGCCCAGTTGTCAATCACCCAGTTGACGGTGTCCCTCCATAATCTGTGTTAAGAACATGATTGAAAAAATTTATACTATTTTAAAATGCATATATACTGATATTAGCTAGTAATGATTTATTAATTCCACATAAAAACAGAAATATTTGAAACATATTAAGTAAGATTTTAAAATGATCCTTACAATAAACACTTTATACTAATAAATATTTTAAATATAATTTAATAATAAGAACACTTTATATCAAAATACTGAATATTGCATTTACTTAAAAGTTTTGAAATCAGACTGCATTAATCATAAACTGCACATTTACGTAACTTTATTAAGATTAGATTAAGAATAGTAAAAAAAAATTTATATGTAAATTTGCAAAAATCTTAAAAAAAAAAAATTGAAAACTTTTACTACTAAAGAACAAATAATAGTACCGACCAACCATATTAATGACGATGATAATACTGTTTATAAAGTGCTGTATAACAATAAAGAATGATACTGTATTAAAAAATGGATATATTAAATCCTTCAAACTAGACAAAGATTTTATATAATAAAATAAGTTAAATATAGGTCATATCAATGCAATTTTACTTATTAAAAGAGCTTCTTTATAGAATTTTTGATTAAAGCATTCCAGAATTGGGGTGATCATTTTTCAACTTTGAATCTGTAATTATAATCATTTACAGAACATAACTTACAAGGTTAATAAACCAAATAACAATTTAAATAGTTATTTTTCACAGGTTTATAATTCTTAAAGTTATCTGATCACATCTTTATAAGAAAAAGAATAAATATTAAATAATATTTTTAATATCTAATTTATATCACAAGAAAGATTATCATAAAACTATTGAAGGAGAAAGAAAGATATTAAATTTAACTACAGTATTTATTAATAATGCAAAATAAGCAAAAAGGGAAATTCTCAATACAGTTCATCAAATCTAGAGATTGGATTAATGCTATAACAACAACTTATTTGTTATTACAGCATTCTGAAAGCTATTAGAATGAATTTCAATCAATCATTTTCCATCTTAAAAATATTTTATTAAGAAGTACAAAATGGGATATTTTTCCCATTTCATACTTTTAACGGCTGGCAAACTGGCAAAAATAATTTTAATGTTAATGAATATGATATAAATATTTGAGATTACATGAAAACAAATCAACAGTAACATGATTAAAGTTGCTTATTAAATCCAGCTGCTTATTGAACTTTGATTTGTCAACTCTTTTTGTTTCTACATTCAGTGCATATGAAAAATTATATATTTCCACATGCACTAAATGATGAATTTGTACATATGAATTTTTACGTAAACTTACAAAAATTTTATTTCAGCTATTCCTTTGATTCTGAAGTATAAGCGTATGTAAATTTCTGGATTTACTAATTAGAGGAATTTTAATCTACTTAATAATTAAAATTACCAAGTAGATTAATTGAATACTTTCTCATTACATTTTGGGTATTAACACTCGCTATTTAATGAGTAAATGCAATTTATATATAAAATTGTCACTATATATATTTTTTTTAAATAAAATAACATTATTTTTATAAACTCTAAAAATAATTATTCTGTGATATTTAAACTTATTTATTCTATAATTGATATTTAGTGTCATTCAATTAAAAAATAAAAAACTTAAAATGTATATTTATGTTGATTTAACAAAAAAAAAATTGTTGAGCTAGAGATGGAAGTGCTTAAAAAGCATTTAATTTCATCAATTTAATCACTGAAAAACTAATAAATAAGTACAATAATTGTAAAAGTTATATACAGTATACACAGTGTATAAATAACCCATATTAAATTATGTGTTTAATCTCTTCACATATTACCAATTTTATATTAAATGTTTAAAATTACAACACGTCATATAATCTGTATAAATATTAAAGCAAACTCTAGTCATTATCGGGTGTCATTATATAATTTTATACCAAATTACATGATTTAATAAAGAGCAATTACAATGATTTATGTCTTCACTTTACCAAATATTATTTGCTTATTCAAAATTATTCATATAACAACACTTAAAACAAAAACTAATTATGTTTACATTCATGTAAATTATCATAAACTTAATTATAATATTACCATTAAGTTTTAGCATTGTAATACTTAACAAATGGCCTTCTGATAATGTATCTCAATTACCAAGTACTCATATGTTAATATATAGTTATTTGACACCATACAATAACAAATCCTTGTATTTCTCCACTCAATAACAATAGTATTATTGTCTAGAAAGACAAAGTAATGTTAATTTCTTGTATTAAATCCAACAGCTGAACCTATGGCAAAAAACTAATCAGTTTCAAAATTACACGTGATCGGATAATACATAAGCGATATCGGATAATCTGCATCACGAACGGATGCGATAACGATAATAAATAAACAATTTACCTTCATCGCTTCACACTACATAACAATTATAATTAAAGGCCTTAGATAACTATGTCCAAATAAGGTTAACACTTACTGTTTATGCCCAGAGGCTTCTATGACCAATGGCTTCTATACTCTACTATAACAATAAAAAGAACAAACTGCCTTCGGTTACGTGCACGTTATTACGCATTTTTTTCCGCTAAAATTTCTATATTAAAATCGGCAATTACGGATCAAATATGTAGCGATTCCGTTTTAAAAAATGGAATTCCGACTACGCTGGGTTTCATTCGTTTTAATTAAAAAAAAACGTGCAGAAACGGGATCCATTTAGACGAAACGATTGTTTCGTGTATTATCCACGCATCGATAGGCTCGAGAGAGAAAATGAATCTCGATTCATTCCTACGAATACTTTCTGTAGCCAATGTCAACAGTGCGCTTAAGAATGCCAAAGGACATTCCATTTCTTTGTCATTCCTTCGCCTTATTTACGTTAATAATTCGCCTCTATCATCTATGGTTTATTTGTAAAATATTTCTTTAATGTAGTGAATTATTCAGTATTTATTTATATTTTAATTTAAATGTAAATTCTTAAAAAGAATTTAAATTATATTTTATAATATGTCGATATCTATGGTTTTTGGTTTTTTTAAACTCTTTCTGTCCTGTGAGCAAGTATAAGGGCTATTTTTTGGAAGCGAATTATGGGTTCCTCCAGGATCGTAATGGGGCGATAGGATCCCGACATTATAAAATTTTCTAGAGTTTTTCGATCCGTCTAGATCCCATCCTGGATCAAAGTCCTAGAATATATTCTAGGACCTTAATCCTGGATCTCCCAGAACAGTAGGCTGTCGGCCATCTGGCCAAGGTTCTATGGTTATGAAGCCCTGTGGTTAAAATATAATTTCTAATTATTTAAAAAATGTCAAGAGTATTTATTACTCTTATAAAAAAAGTAATTTAATATATCAGAAATAGGAACAGTAGCATTCTATAATAGAAATGATCAATTCAGTGGTGTAACCGTAATTTTGAAACCCCTGAAAAAATTTTTACGGCCACACGAATTTAAAAAAAAAAAAAAAACACTGAACATCGGTAGTTGGTAGTGGAACCCCGCTAGCTTCAATTTGATGTTTTTTTTGAGTTATGGCAACATAACAATTGGACGATTTGCCTAGGGGGATGCCTTCCGGAAGGTCTTTTTAAGGGAAATTGGCTCCTATTTTAGCGTTACAGACGGGGAGAAAACCCGGAAAACTCCATGTGGCCAGCCCGTCCGAGCGAGACACGAACCCACGATCGAACTCCTAGTGTTCAGGGTACGAAGATCTTTTGGCCACTGGTGGACCAGATGCAATTTGAAAAAATTAAAGACCTATAAATTCCCACTGTCGTCCGTTCTTTAATCTCCAGAACGGAGATAAGATACTTGAAAGGCGTAACCAGATATAAAAAGTTTAGGGGCAGGAGGACACGATTAACTATATATGACTTACTTTCTAATGCAAACCGAAAGTTACATTTTTCAATTCAAAAGTTTTCCCTGAAAGGAGTTAAATATATTACTGGCACAACTCTATTGCTAAAGGAAAAGTATGATGTACAGGGGCAATACACTGCTAATTTGAAGGTGGAGAGCATATATTTTTAATTAAATAAATTAAAAATTGCAGTCTGGCATTGTGACGACGTCACAATAATTTGTTTGTTCAAATTGTATTTTATTCTTAATCAATACAAATAATAATAACATTAGAATATAAATATTGAATTTCAAAATATATCTCCGATCTAAAAATGGTCCAACCGTCGACATCAATTAATTAATTAAGAAATATTAAATTCAACGAATTGGAATAATAGGAGTAACAATGCATTTTAACAATTGATTCTGTTCAAGAATGGCTTTAAATCGGCGAAGAGACGACAAATTCTTGTAAATAATAGAAATTAAAGTTATTTTCAGAAGTTTCCAGATCATGTAAGTAATTTTAAATTATTTTTATTATTAATTATCTATTTTCTTTTAATAAAATTTATATGCAAAGATAAAAATTTCTATAAATGCCTACACATAACGAGCAATTATTTTATTGTGATATCGTCACAATGCCGGGCTGCAACTTTTAATTTATTTAATTAAAAATATATGCTCTCCACTTTCAAATTAGCAGTGTATTGCCCCTGAACTTCATACTTTTCCTTTAGCAATCAAGTCGTGCCAGTAATCTATTTAACTCCTTTCAGGAGAAATTTTTTCATTGAAATAACATGACGTTCATATATTTGGCAGTTCAATATATATGTATGTGTGTATAAAAATTTATCTAAATGTGAATATTTAAATTAATAACATTCGTGCGCATCTCTTTCTTTATTTAAATTTTCGTTTAACAATTAAAACAATGGTGTAAGTAACGCTTTAAGATTAACGGTATACGGGAATAAAGGGCCATTCACAATAAAAATTAAGCATAAACGTAAAACCTCGTATCTATGTTATTTAATGCAACCATTCACAATGAGTTACGTAAGTGTGATCTTAAATTTAATCATAAGGCATTAACACAAATAAATCTTGGAATTTGTAAATTATCCTATCAGAACAGGCTCTGATAAGGGTATTGTTTGGGGTCTAGGAACAGATTAATTGGACTGCAATTTGAAAAAATTGTAGACAAATTTGCACTGTCGTCCATTCCTTTGGCTTTCCTTAATCTCGAGAATGGAGTTAAATAAATAAAAGACGAGATCAGATATGGAAACCTTATGGGCAGGAGACCCCGATATACGAACTTCCGATGCGAACTTGAAGTCACATTTCAATTCAAATTTTTTTCCCGAAAAGTGTTAGATAGATGACTGGCACGACTCTATTGTTAAAAGAAAAGTATGAGATGGAGAGTATATATTTTAAATTAAATTAATTAAAACTATGATAAAAAAAATTGACGATGTCATAATACATAATTGCTCGTCACTTTCCATTATTTCTAATAGGAAAAATTGATTCGGACTTCGAACAATTCAAAGTTCGAACGAGCTCCTAGAATGAATTAAATTTGAAGTACGAGGCATCACTGTGTTTAATTAATGACAAATGATCTGCCTTATTATTGAGCTTTAATAAGACTAATCTAATAATTAGACATAATAGAGAGGTCACGGCCGACGTTTTCAGCCCAAAATCTGAACGTCCGACGTCGAGCGCCACCATCTGGCAATTCTAGAAGGTTGACAATGGCGTTTGCTACGTCTAGCATGGCGAGTAGAAGTTCGGTTTAAACTTCATTTTTTTTTTTTTTTTTTGTATGTTTGGAATTAAAATTATGACGTATTTTATTAAAATAATGGTTATTTATGAATAATATTGTAAAGAAACAGACGATTTTAATCCAGAAATTATTCAATTTTTTTGCAACTGATGTGACGTACCTATAGAATTTATATATATTTCTGTTCATAATAGCTGATCATAATTCTGTAGGAGTAGGTTTGTTCTTTCACAGCATATTCTACCATCAACAGCGTAATACGTTTGTAAATTTTCTAATTTCCTGAGCTGCTTTCGGATTTACATAAGCCACTACTTCCCTCAACAAAAGTGTGAGGTAGTCCTATCGTACGATAGGAGATACGACGCTAATTAAAAATAATTATTTAGTGTTATTAAACATCCTATAAATAAAATAGTTAAATTTGTTTATTTACTTTCGCTAGTAACATTCGTCGTTGTTAAACGTTTCCGCCATTTTTCAACAATATCCCATGAGTTAGTGCGCAATGTATTTTACTTGGAGTTCAAACGTCAAACGTGTACTTCTGCTTGCCGTACAAGTTTAACGTTTAAACTTCGGCCGCAACTTCTCTATTAATCTAAGAAATAGAATTAATTTTCGGTATTCAATAAAACAGATCTTATTTCAAGGTTTTTCCTACCTCACAAATATCAGTTTTAATAATAGCTGATAAAACCTAGCGTTAACAAGCTGTTCTAAAAGACATAAATGGAAAATAATGACAATCGTTGGGCCTGAGCAGTGTGGGCTGTGCAGTAGCGTAGCGTAGGTGGCGGCAAAATTTCACAATAAATAATACAGTAGAGCGTCGATTATCCGAATCAATTGCGGACTGAGGAAGATCGGTGTTTCGGATAACCGATTATGCACGAAAAAATATATTAATTTATCCCATGTTGAAATTTTTCTCTGTTTCATGTCGCCTAACGAAAACTATTGTATCGTTAAAAATTATTTTTTTACTTTATACGAACAAAATAAATATATTGAAAAATATAAAAACAATAAAAAATTATACTTCAGAAGTTAATTTAGTATCAAAAACGTAAAATATTTGAGTAGCCCAAGACATAGCCAAAGATTGCAGCGCCACAGCACTGGCGAAAATTTAAATTTGCCAACTGGAATTCTTTCGGATGATTGACTTTCGGATAATCGACGTTCTACTGTAATAATATCTTGTAAGAATTTGAACCATTTTATTTCATACTATCGTCCACCTACGATTCGGACCGATTGAAATGAGCACGGAATAGTGTTACCATCCGCCATCCGGGGATATCGTGTGTAACCAGTGGACCCTTTTTTTTTTTTTTTTTTTTTGCTTGTACGATTCATTCGTAATCATATCCACCTCCAAAATCCAATAGAGATAGGCCACTTGCGTTACTCCTATCCAAGTCTCCCTAGTCGCTAACTGTAACTGATTTAGAACCGGCATGCACTGCAAATTATTCTTCGCATTGCAAGATGATATACGTATGCGTCAGGAACTTCTGTTCGAACAAACCTCACCTGCCGTCCGGATCAGCGATTTTAAAAAGGTGGCAACACTAGCACGGAATTTTTCATTACTTATTCTGTGACGAAACTGAATTTTAGTCTATTAAATTGAGATATCTAAATAAGGGGGCGATGAAATTTTTCTCCGCCCCGGACGGCTGATACCCACGCTACGTCACTGGGGCCCTTGCTGCCGGATGGCCGAGCGGTCAAGGTGGCAGTCTACCGCTCTGGGGGACCCGGGTTCGAATCCGAAAGGGTCGAAAAATCCCCAGAAAATTCTCGGGGGTGGTACGTTTGGATATGTCGGGCCCCGTCTCTCACCACCCGGCAGCTCCATTGTGGGTCTGGCCGAACCTATAATGGGCTTGCAAAAAGAGGCCCTCTTAGTGCCCATAGGGCGGAAAGAGTTTTAAAAAAACGCTACTGGGGCTGTGCGCTTGCATGTGATATAATTTATTATATGGTTAGTGTGCTGTGGAATATTAATTTTACGGTTGCATAAAAAAATATTGTATATATTCAATACATATGGTAAACCCTACCAACATTCCTTCCATAGCTCTTTTTTCGTGGACCAAGTAAAATATACAATAAAACCTATGTAAATTGGAACCGTACGGTACCGAAGTTTTTTCTGGTTTGGCAGGTTTCTGTTTTGAACAGGTTCTTATT